TAAATGGTTCATATAATGGCTAATAAATAAAACCACAATCATTTTCTCTCCCTTTCAGGGAAGCAGCAATAGCAGAGAAGCGTAAGTAAACCAATCTCTTCCCTTCGGTGAAACACAGCCAGGTTTGCTGATTAGAAAAACTAAAATGTTCTATTTGTTCATTCCCAGGTCGTGCCAGAGTCGTTCAAGGTCTGCCAGATGTTGCCACCATCATGGAGGACAAGGTGATATTGAGTAACTCCATGGATTCCTTGCACAGACACAGAGGGATCACTGAGGGGGAGGAAAGATCCTTTTTTACCCTCCTGGGCATTGCCAGCAGCTTTTCTGAGAGGTGCTGCCCTCCTGGGTCACCCTCACTGCCAGACCCTTCTGTTGTGCCCCCATCTCACAGGATTGGACTCTGAAGGCCTTGAGGTGCAGGGCCTGATTCTCCCACCAGCCCAACTCCCTTCTTCCATTCCTGAGTCACATTTCCCTTTGCTCAGGCAGCACAAACCCCTGCAAATAACTGCAAACTCCCCCTGTGCCTGTCTCAGTGCCACCTTACAGCACAGGCAGCTATAGAACACCAGTGAGACAAATCTGAGTCAGGCCCAGTGAATTCAGGTTAATCCCGATTGCACTGCAGGAAATCAGGAAAAGGAATATCAGATATCAGTGTTGGAATGTCACCAATGAAAATGTGAGAACTGATTTTTATTGCTCTTAATTTAAATGATGTGTGGATGTGGCACTTGGGGATGAGGTTCAGTGGTGGCCTTGGCAGGGCTGGGTTAAGAGCTGGCCTCAATTTTAAACGTTTTTTCCAACCTAAATGATGCTGATTCTATGCACTGAATTTCCCTGCACATTCACAGCTCCACAATCCATTTCTGCTCTATGAACTGAATTCCCTGCACATTTACAGCTCCACAATCCATTTCTGTTCTATGAACTGAATTTCCCTGCACATTTACAGCTCCATGATCCATTTCTGTTCTATGAACTGAATTTCCCTGCACATTTACAGCTCCACGATCCATTTCTGTTCTATGCACTGAATTCCCTGCACATTTACAGCTCCATAATCCATTTTTGTTCTATGAACTGAATTTCCCTGCACATTTACAGCTCCACAATCCATTTCTGTTCTCTGTTTCACCACAGACCCTGTGCTTAACTTGTTGTGTGTCTGGAGACCCCTACCCAGAGATCACCTGGTTCAAAAACGAGAAGGTCATCGAGTTTAAGGACAGATACAAGATGGATGTGAAGGGCTCAATGGTCACAATCACCATAGAGAGAGTCTGCAATGAAGACACAGGAAAATACAGCATCTATGTCAAGAATAAATATGGCTCTGAAACAGGGCAGGTCACCATCAGTGTCTATAAACACGGGGAGATCCCAATAGGAACAGAGCAGGAAATCCCAGCTGGGATTGCCACAAAGAAGCGTAAATGAATTTATTGTCTCCTTGAATCTGAAAGGAATTTAACTCCTTCAGATGCCTTTTGGTGTCTCTGTGTTTATTTTAGCAGTATTTCAGTGGTTTGGCAGTTATAGAACAATTCTGGTGTGTGTGTGTGTGTGTGTGTGTGCTCACACGTGTGTGCACTGCATGTTCACCCTCCAGAGAGACTCTGCCCTGGTAAATCTGTGTGGGCTTTCAGTGCAGGGTTTTTATATTAAATCTCTACATGTAACAGATTTTCTTGTAGCCTCTGTGTGTGTGTCATTAAACTCAACCCCTTAGTGCCATCTCAGCACTGCTTTGAGTACATCCATGATGAAATCACTACACCTGAGAAGTCAGGACATGCTCCACACATTCAAATGACCCTGCAAATCAGGAATTCTCACAGGCAAATGTAGTCACAAATCTGGCTCTTTCTGTGTGAACCTTCTTTAAAATTACCTACTAAAAAAGGGTGGTGAGTTGGTAAGAAGCTGAGCACTGGGTCTCTATTTAAATAGAATGAAAAGTTAACTCAGAGAGGTCACCCACCACTGGGATAAGGCTCTGTTTGAATTAAGCAATCTAATTGCAAGGCACATCTAATGAAAGTCTTCCAAAATCAACAGTCAGGCCTGCACAGACAGCAAGGAACATCACAAGGGCTGGAGTGAGTGAAGAAACCCTTGTGTAGTTGCTGAGAAGAAAAAACAACACATCCTATTTGCTTCCTGCATTCACTCTCCCAGCAATGTTCCCTGTTTCATCTTTTATCTTCTATTAAAATAAAACGTAAAAAGAAGCTGAGTTTAATTCAATTCCATTAGATGCACATCACTGACATCTGCTGGATAAAGTCATCACTCATGTCCCACTCCAACATGATTTTGCCTGTCCTCAATGGGAGGCCCCCAATTTGAAAAGAAATAGAATGATTTTATTCATTCTATTTTAATCATTCATTAAGGTTCACAGCAGAGAACATTGTTATAATTAGGAAGTTCCTGCTGTACAACACCAATCCCCTTGATCTGCTGTAACTTTATCTGAAGAATTCTACCCAAGACACAGAGAACGTGTTAAACACTGAAGTTGTGAAGAAAAAGCAAACAAATGAAGCTGCACTGCAACACTTTCCAACAAGGCTGCACACGAGGTCAGTACCCCACAACAAACACAGCATGCCAACCCTCAAGGTGAGAGCAGCATGAACGAGAGGTTATGCTCATTAAGAACAAATAACTGATTAATGATTGCTGTTCCCAGTTAATAATTAGCCCTCTGCCGATCTGGGCTGGCCCCTGTGTGTCCATAAAGAGCATCCCCGAGGGCAGGGGCAGCCCTTGCTGTGTCCCACCATGGCATTCGCTGGCACCTGGCACATCTACGCTCAGGAGAACCTCGAGGCCTTCCTCAAGGCTCTGGGTAAGTGCCTCCTCCTCCTCCTCCTCAGCCACTGCCACTGCCACCTCAGCTCTGACTGCTGTGCTCCCATGGAATTGTCCTTTATTTCTGGGACAAACTGCCCTGCTTGGTTCAGTCTGTTTGATTGAATTTGGATGGGAAAAGAAGCTGAAAGTTATAATAGATTATATATATAATATATATTATAATTATATGTAATATATACTATCTACTATCTATAGTAGTTGGTTGGTTCAGTCTGTTTGATTGAATTTGGATGGGAAAAGAAGCTGCAAGTTATAATAGATAATATATATATATATAATAATTATATGTAATATATGCTGTCTATTATCTATATAATATATCATATATAATATATAATATAGTATATAGTATATCGTATATAGTATATACGATATACTATATATTATATATTGTATATAGTGTATAACATATAACACATAACATATAACCTATAACATATGACATATAACACATAACATATAATATATATTGATGGAGAAATGTTACAGATAACCCCCAAAGAAGAGTTGTTGTGTAGATTACGTGTAATTTTATAAACATATATAACTAGAAACAAGGCATCAATGATTTATTCAGCCTCCCAATTATTGTACAGAAGCCCTTCCTGCAGCACAAATGCTGTCAGTAATCTGGGAATAATTATCACCTAAAAGTAGTCAGAAACCTGGCAGTGCTTATCAAGTGTGATAATGTCAGTAATCTCTGGGTGATTATCAAATCTAATCTGGGAGGATTAGGAGGTGCTACACCAATAAATGTGCACTTACCTTTGCCAACAAAAGGTTCCTGTTGGGTTTTGAAGAGGAAATAGGAGATATTCAGGAGAGGGAGATGCAGTTCCAGTTGGTTACATCAATAAATGTGCACTTACCTTTGCCAATAAAACATTCCTGTTGGGGTTTGAACAGTAAATAGGAGATATTCGGGAGAGGGAGATGCAGTTCCAGTTGGAAAGGCTGGTCTGACAGTGTGACAGACCCAACCCCTCTCCTGGTGACAATGACACCTCCAAATCATGCCAGGGACACCCCAAAAATGGAGTGTGAGGTACTCCCAGTGTTCCAGCTCTGACTGGACAGAAAATCCCCCAACTCCCTGGGAAAATAACATAATGCACACGTGGTTCTGTTCATGGAGCATCATCACCCCATGGGCAGCCCTTAGGACACAAACTGCATAATGTGACACATCACCAGATATCACCCCAAAACCCAACCAGACCAGAAGGAATGGAGCAAAAAAAAACATAGAGAAGAGAGGAATCCAAACCAGGATTTGTCTTTTAACTTGGACATCACCTTCCAGTACTGGTTTGGATTTTTGTGCCTTTGTTGGGAGGCACAATTTGCTATTTTGCTATTTCCATAACAAAACTCCTGTTTTGCCTGTTTTTGCAGGGTTGCCAGATGACACCATCAAAATGGCCAAAGACATTAAGCCTGTTGTTGAAATACAACAAAAAGGCAACGACTTTGTTGTGACATCCAAAACACCCCACAAATCTGTAACCAACTCATTTACACTGGGCAAGGAGGCTGACATCACCACCATGGATGGCAGGAAGCTGAAGGTAAAGCATTCCTGGAACAGGATCTTTCTTTATCCCTGAACCTCAGTCTGTGTGTGAGTGCAATTTGTTTGTACCAGTTCAATTTGCAAATATTTCTACCACTTTAACAAACAGAAATGTTCTTAAAACTCCTATTCAAATGCTGTGCTCTCCAGTTTAAATTAACAGCTGTCATTATGAAACATCAGTGTAATTTATTTCCTATTTATTACTCCTCTTCTTGGTGGAATTGAATTCCAAAATCTAATTTTTAAAAATGTTTTTTAAATGTCCCAACAGTGCACTGTGAACTTGGTCAATGGGAAGCTGGTGTGCAAATCAGATAAATTCTCTCACGAGCAGGAAGTAAAAGGAAATGAAATGGTGGAGGTAAGTGCAAATAAGTGAAAATAAAGGCACTTGCAGAAAAATGCTGAAGGAAAAAATGTTGGCTAGCTCAGAGTGTTTACAGAGTGGATAAAGACTGCTCCAAGGGCACAACCAACTGCAACTTTTCCTTCATGCAAATGTTGTACATATATTTTAGTGTTGTACATATATTTTAGTGTTGTACATATATTTACAGGCAGGTGCTGTGACTGTGTTTTCTTGTGGACTAGGATGGGTTTATGCATGAATTACAGCCACTTCTGCCACTTAGCTATAAAAATGTGTATTTGTCTCCCACAGACTATAACATACGGTGGAGTAACACTTGTCAGAAGAGGCAAGAAAGCCTAAAGACAGATCCTCCTGTGTGACACCTTTCCATACCTGAAATAAAGTGCACTTTCCACAAGGCGTGAGCTCTGTTTTATCTGAACAGCACAGGAAATCGTGATGATTTCTGCTCTCCTTTCTCACAGCAGTCCCTTGTTACAGAACTGTGTTTCCCCCTCTGTCCTCAGTGACACAAATTTGCCTCCCAGACAGCCCAAGCTGGACAAATCACACAGCTCCAGCTCAGCACGGTCATCCTTGGGAGCAGCCAAAAGCTACAGAAATGCTCCTTGATTCCTCACACACAGACTGAACACACTCAGCTTTAGTTCCTGCTCCTGCTGCAGGTTAGTTTTTAAGCAAACCTGTTCTCTGTGACCTGGCCAGCACAGAACAATCAGGCATTTGTTGGGCTGATCTGAACCACATGGCCCAGCAATGGAAACAGCAATATGTGAAAAGCTGGGAAGCACTCAGCAGTCATTGACAACAGGGATGGCTGTTCTTAAACTGAATTACACAGAAGTGCAATTAAGAGGAGAGAGAATTAAACATTCTTCCAATTTGCAATGAACTCTCCCAAATGTCTTGTCATGGCCCAAGTCTGTGAGGCTGAAGGAAACCAGACTTTGTTCAGAGCCTGTGTCTTTATTAAGTATAATACACACAGGAGATTATATCTTATTATTGTATCAGCAGCCCCATTTCACAGCTGAAGTCACTGCTGATTGGTTAGAATTGGTTTTAGGTGCAAGACCTCATGAATAAAGCTGTTGGATTGATAATGCCATTTAAAATCCTCATGGGGAGGTTTTATCCCAGTGGAGAGTGCTGAGTTCCCATCTCCCCATGCCAGGAGAGCAGTTGGTGAGGGGAGAAGTTGTGATTTATTACCCACACAATGTGATACGAGCAATTTGGGAGGTGCATTCTCGTTCTGGGATAAGGCTGCTCTCAGGGGGAGTTTCAGTGGCATAAAGGATCATTGTGCTCATTCTGCTTCCCAGGCAGCTCCAATGCCAGGCACAGCCCTGCAGCCAGAATGAAATTCCATGTGAGTTACACAGAAATAAGATCAGCAGCACAGAAATCGGGGCTGGTACAGCTCAGGGAGGAGGAGGAGGGTGCTTTAAAGCTGCTTTAAAGGCACCCAAGAACTCAGCACCCTTCTCTCTGGGAGTTGCTGGGGAACTGCTGCAAACACACCCTGAAACCAAACCAAACACACGCTGTGGTTTTCCAGCAGGAAATTCAGAGTGCTGCAGGTCTGCGAGGATCAAAGGCTGTGCCAGCAAACTGGAGGCTGGGACAGCAAAACACCTCAGGTTTATTTCTAAACCAAGGCAGAGATCCTTCATTACTCATTTCAAACCGTTACAAAATCATTGTTGCAGATACCACACACTAAAAGCACACTGATCTTATTTGGAACTTCAACTCATGCCAAGTCATTCTAACGGCTAAAATTCTAAAAAATTAAAAGAACACTTCACCTGGCTTTCTTCACAACTGCAGTGACTTCATGTTTCCAGCAATGGTGCCAATCTTTCCCATCCTTCTGGCAAAGTCCTTCTGCCACAGGGCAGCCCAGATTTGGGTGGAATATTCAGTGCAGGTCCTCATGTGAAGCAGTCAAACCTGAGGGATTCTGATCAGACTGAGATCTCTGTCCCATGGCCCAAAGGAATGAACATTCCTCAATGGCATAACAGCCTGGGATGGCAGCTCTGGAGTCGCTATTCCACAAAAACAAATTTTCTGTGCATTTTTCTGTGAAGGACTCCACTGGAGTATTTATGATCTAACTTGGATCTTGTTCCAAGTTTTGATTCCCAATCTGACAAGGTATTCCTGGCAGCATGGATTCCTATCCATCAAAGTCCACTCTCTGGTAAATTAATTGTTTTCAGAATGTCTGTAAATTTTTTTTTTCTTTTTTGCTCTGTGCCAAGCACTCCCACCACAATTCCAGTCTCTGATGTGCGTTCTTGGCTGGATTTTTAGGTTCTTTTAATGATTTATGTGAGCAGATCTGTGTTTACATTGCACAAGGTAACAACTCGACCTGCTGCTTGCATACAGAAAAATGCTAACTGTAAATATTTAATGCAAAAAACATGGTCAGAGATCCCCATCCCTTCTCTGTTGAGTCCTGCACGCACACCCTGAACATTCAACCACATAAATTCCATTTTTTTGGGAATTGTATATGTCTGCACATCTCCTGTGTTAGTGACTGAACTTCATCTGCCATTCAAACTTGAATCATCTGTCATTCAAAACCTGTAAAAATCAGGCACTTCTTCATGTGAGATTGCCAAGATATGAACAGCAATGTCCTCCCACCAGTTTCCATTCATGAATATTAAAAATAAAGATGAAAATACACTGGTGGCAGACACCAGGGCTGCATCAGCTCCAAGTCTTTCTGTCCCTGCAGGAGTTTGCTGCAAATCCCTCACGTGAAAATGCAGACACTTTTCACTGAACTCTTCACCAAACCCTGTGACTGTGGGGTCAGATGTGCCTTTTATCCACCTTTATGTGAGTCACACATGAGCGTGGTGAGAAATCATCTCTCCACCCACCAACTGGATTGTTTTCATCACACAAACAGCTTTAATGGAAAGGGCTGGTCCTGTGCAAACAGCCTGGCGACAACTCCTGGCGCTCAGCAGGGCAGTGGGTAACGGTGCTCTCCACAAAAACTGTATTAATTACTCCATGTGCAACAATAGTTACACACTCCAGAGAGACACTGGTCATTTATTGCAGTGTTGCACAGTTGGGGCCCTGTGGGATTGCACAAATGGAGCTCACCAATGATCAAAATTTATTACTATTTACACATTTTAGCAAACAAAGGAATTAGTGTGCCTTGGCTATAGGTCACATAGTTCTGAATTAGTATTCTATCTTCTGTTGGTTAATTATTCTGTTGTTTCTCATGTTAATTAGTCCCGTTCTCTCCTTTTGGGCCAGTGGTCTGTGGGGTGATGGTCATGACCTGCCCCTGCAAATGTAAAATTACATTTACCCAGTTGGAGATCATTTCAGCACGGTCGCTGAGTTGAGTTTATTAGTTTCTTCCTTATCTTGGGAGCTCTTGCCAGATGGCCCATAAATTCTGCATTCTTTGTGTCCTCTATCAGCGGGCATCCTTTTTTCTCGAGCTTTGTTAAGCTCCCCCTAGGTCTGAGATCATCGAAGCATGTCCAGCCCTAAACTTTAACAAGGCAATTCTACCAATCTGTTATTCTAACACAGGCACACCACTTAGAGCTCGATAGCTGCCGTTTCATGGGTTACATCTCCCTTCTTGTTGATTAGGCTAGAAGGCATAAAAACGTCAAACATCAAAGAACACCTTTTCCTAACAGAACTTATACATACTCCACACTTTGCGACAGCAATGCCACAGGACAACGATCCCCTGAGCCTCAGGAAGGGCGTTAGAGCCCGAGGCGGTGTCAGTTGGGGGCACAGGAGGGAGGCACGGCGCCGTGAGGCGGCCGCACAAGGCCGGGCCGCGCTCTCCCCTCACGACGGGGGCGCGGCCGCCATCTTGCCCCGCGCGCGCTCCCCCTTCCCGCTCTTTCGGCGGGAAAAGCGAGCGGGGAGGGAGGCGGAGAACATTGCGCATGCGCGGCGCGCGCCGGCGGGCCCGCGAGCTCCCGCGCGCGGCCAGAGCGCATGCGCGCTGCCGGAGCGGGGCAGGATTTTGGCGCCGCGTTTCGCTCTCGCCGGAAGCCCCCCCGGGAAGTCTCGCGAGAGGCGGCGCGCGGGCGGGCGGTGCAGCTCCCCCAGGGTCGCCTCAGCCGCTCCCGCCGCGCCCGGGCCGCGCTCGCTCCTTCCCTCCCTCCTTCCTTCCTTCCTTCCCTCCTCTCCTTCCTGCCGTCCGCCCCGCCGCCGCCGACATGTCCCGCTACCTGCGGCCCCCCAACACCTCGCTCTTCGTGCGAAACGTGGCCGACGACACCCGGTGAGTGGGGGCGGAGCGGGGGCTCGCGCAGGCTTTGGCGGGCTCGCTAGGCCGCGGCCGCGGGGGTCCCCTCACAGCCGGGGGAGGGGAGGGAAGGGGGCGAGCCCGGCCCGCTCCTTCCCTCCGCCTGGCTTCTCTCTTCTCCCTGCCCTGCCTTCCATTTTCCTCGCGATGCTGCTGCTCGTTCCCCGCCTCTCCACGCGGCTTCGTTTCCAAACAGCGTCCAGGCAGAACAAAGCTGGGCCGCAACAAAGTGAAACTCCCGCAGCCCTCGGAGCGCGTCCGGCGGGATGTGGCACCGAGGCCGTGCCGGACAGCCGCTGCACTTTGGGATGCTCCTCTGAGAATGCAGGATTGCTGCTAGAGGGGAGGAAATAGAGAGTTTGTGCCCGAAATTGCTGCCTGGCCGGTCCCGTTAGCGGGGAGCTGCTGCCGGTGCAGGTGGAATGTTCGGTGCTCGTTGGGTACCGGGGCCTCTCGGGACGCTCTGTCCGGAGCCGAGGGAAGCAATGCTTGGTCTCCGTTATAATCGTGTGGTTCTGAGAGCCTATAAGGACTAAACAGTGAGAGAACTTCTCGTAGGGAATTTAAACAACAAAAACAGAGCGTTGCACAGGTTCTTATTTATTCCTTATATGCTTTTGGTGAGCTGCTGGTTTTCTTCATTTCACTTGGGCAGTTTAGTGACCATAAACGCCTTTGGTGTTTGTTATTGTTTGTAGAACATTTACACATTGTCCTGTGGGCACGATGAAATGGAATGGAATGAAGTTAAACTTTTTTTTTTCCCCCCATGAATTTATTCATTTTTCCAATAGTTTATTTTACTTCAAGAAGAGCTGAGGATGATCACTTCCAAATTTTTTACAGTAATGTCGATCCTCTTGAGGATTCACCTTAAGCACCGAGTTCTTGGAGGTGATTTCATTGTGAGATCTCCCCTTCTGCCAGCACTGACTGTGGAGATTTGTTTCCCAACTGGTGCAAGAGAAAGGAAAAAATATAAAAAACCTGTAGTAATTGTCACATACCACCTAAATATAGTATTGCATCAATTTTCTCATGCAGGTTTTTGTCCTCAAATTAAACGTGAGGAGCT